ATATGCTTAAGTTTAAGATTCTCTTCTGACTCCTACCAGACCGTCCCCCTGGGAAGGTAGCGTATCACTGAATAACTTTTCCAAATTCCTTTATGACCAGTAATCTTTCTTATATTTGGTAGCTGTATCTTTATTATTCATTAAAATATTAAACTGTACCGAGACTATTTTCTATCCTCAATAGTACATATATATATATTTAGATTAAGCAGTTGTAATTTACATAAAAAAATAAATCCATACAGTAAATTACCCAGAATTATATTTAGACAGAAGCTTGCATCTCCACTGAACATAGCATGCTATAAATTAGTTTTGGATAACACGTGTACAGTGTACAACTTGTATTGAGTAAAATATTTTACAAGCTGATCGTCAAAACAGAATTATAATCCAAAGTCGATTGACCAAGTTTCAAAACTATTTGGCGCCTGTCTTGCGTTGAACGAGTTTCATTGAAAAGACTTGATTTGAACATAAAATGCACTCTCAGTCTAGATATTTCTAACACAATTCCTGGTTTGATAAAATATATTGAATATATGTCAGGGGTTTACTTTTACCAATATACAGTTAACATACAGTTTTAACAGTAGAGTTCAAATTTACAAATTCCCTGTAGCTAAACTGCAATTCGGTGACATACTATCAACATTCTATACAAGATTCTTGTGTTTTACGTTTCTCTAAGGAGATTCATGTTATTATAGAATAATTATTGAAGACGAAGGGCTTGTCTTTGGTATTTTATATTTACAGGTAAAGAATCACCTCAGCTCATAAGGCAATACAAATTATTTGTGTTTTGTGCTAAAGGAATAATTCAGAGATACAAGACTACATCTCTATTTACGTATATACATTTATTTTATTTTAAAGAAAAAACTGCTATACATCTAATTGGACTCAATAATGGTTATAAACACACACACAGTTACACAGTCTTTTATATTGCAAACGATGCATTGAAGTACAATAAGATTATATCTTACGAACTTACGATTATAAAATGGTTCAATTGAATAGTTATATAACATTGAAGTACGTAGTTTACCACTAAAGAATTTAGATACCATAGATCATGTTTAGATAAAGCTATTCTTCTAACTTTGTTTTCCTCAGTAAACGGAAAACAAAGCTTAGTCGAGCAACACGTAAACCAATATTCTCGCCGAGTTCAAGAAACAAACTTACTCCCTTCCTTAAACGCTAAATCTTATTTCAGGACCGCTTCTCTCTCGACGTGACCTATTTTCCAACAGTAAACCCTGCGACCCAACTTGATGAGTGCAAATCCTGGAGACCACAATTGACGTATTGCTAAAAGACTTTCAGATAACAAAAATCAAATCTTTAGTCATTCTTTAGATACTACGTATAAGCTAAATATGAAATAAAACATTACAAAATTCAATTATTACATATACTGTATTATAATTTGTTTAGACAATAAATGCATGATTATTATCCTCTACAACTCTTGTTATGAAAATATGGTATTTTTAATGGCCTTTTTGGAATATATTATTTTAAAACCAAAAGGATTCAATTATCAGGAATATATTATAGGTATATACGTTAAATCTTTGAATCTTTTGACAACTTTTCATAAACTTTGCTCGAAAACATCCAATGGTAAAAAGTGTTTTAAAGATAATTAGTTTGTATATCAATTCCCTACTTTGATAGGTATTTCAATACGTTACAAGTAATTCAAATATAATATAGAATAAAACAAAAATTAGTCTCTTTGAAACAAAAACTAGGTTTACCACGCACGGCTTATGTCCCAAGGGAAAGATAATCTAAAATTGTATGTAATGATATCTAATATGGAAACAAGATGCACTAATACTGATACCACTCAGGCTTGTGATTCTTCTAATTTGGGTCTAAATCTCACTTAAAAAACTTGTAAAAGTTCTTGTAATGTTTATAAGACAATGAGAAAATCAAGAACTATCCTAGATTGTATTTAATGTAAACGAAATAAAAACGTGGTCATAAGAATGGATAATTAAACTATAAGCTTTTAAATGCTAAAACCTGGTGTTTTTTGTTAATAAACTAGTTGAAAGAATTGAGGACATGAAATTTTAATATAACATAAAATATGGAAAATCTTAAAGTCATACAAATATATAAAATCTTACAAATCGAAAAAGAAACCATTCGATCTATGTTATGAAATTAGTAATTGGTATTTGTGTTGAAGTCAGTGTTTCACGTTGTTTGTCCCATATGTATGATTTAACTACTTACACGTTTCAATAATTACTGATATTATGATGTAAAAGAACCGTGAACGCAGAAAAAGTGTCAATGTTTACATTTTTGTAACAAGATAAAGAGTGTATTCAAGTTTCAGCCTGAGATATCATCAAAAGAGTGTAAATGTTATTTGCTGAGACGGGGAAACAAGGCTTCTTAGACTACTCTTGAATTTCGCCAGCTCAGACCTCATTTACATCTGCCTGGTATGAATGAATTCATTTTAAGCCAAATTTGTTTTCATTCACCGAATTTATTTGACCTTTTACTTTTCCTTTCAAACGTAATGTATCATTCTCTATTTTCTAAAGTATACACTTTTGCCAAAAATACATTTCGAAATCACAGAGACAAATGCTACAGTTGAATATACAAAATATAAGAAATATACAGTAGTTCAAGTGAAATATGCTAAAAGGGTGAAATTTCAAATCATATAATGAATCACGTTTGAGGGTAGGGAAATACGATATTCCTGTACGAGCATAATAGTTCGTGTGCGAGTTTGGTGATCGTAGGATTTCATTCAAGTACCGTAAACAATTTACTCTAACAGAAAAAAATTTACACAATGTACAATCCCACAAATTATGTTGTGTTGTGATTGTACAGCAACGTACAATAACAACTGCTTTGATCCAATAAATAGTACACTATTTTGCCCAATATTGCGACGGAATATATATATATTTTTTTTCAATGTAACATGTTTTTTGCCTTTACATTTTATTTTACTGAGCAAAGTACCTAAAAAAACTTAATATTTATTATATCTTATAATCATATTTTTATCTATACTATTATAAAGAAGAGGTGGTGTCTGTGTGTGTGTTTCTATGAGCTAATCTCAAAAACTACTGGTCGGATCGGGCTGAAATTTGGCATGATGATAGCTCACATTCCCGATTAACATATAGGCATATTTTTATCCCAAAAAATCCTTCGGGGCTCCGCCCCAGTGGCTCTGGAGTTTCCCATGTTAACCTTATGAGAAATGGAATTAATGAATCTTAACAGCTGTTTCAATTAAACAAGTTGGTTCTGTTCTATGATGTTCAATAGCATTAAAAGTTACAAGGATTACCAACAGGGTTCAGCACTAGCACTATTATTTCTTTTACATTTATGACAACAGCAAAAGGTGAGTGAGCGTAGCGAACGAACTTCAACCTGGAGGCGAGTGAGCGTAGCGAACGAGCTAACCTGAAGGCAAGTGAGCGTAGCGAACGAGCTAACCTGAAGGAAAGTGAGCGCAGCGAACGAGCTCCAACCTAAAGGTGAGTGAGCGTAGCGAACGAACTTCAAAAAGAACCGAAATTTCTTAAACCATGTCCTCACTCATAACTGCTATAAGCATTTGATACTTATATGCCAACCCCGTACGAAGGACGGGTACTCTGCTAGTAATAATAATAATATAATAACATCTTTCACAGTAATATTTGTTATTATATATAGTAATATATTTGTCCAATAACTATTGTGTCCAAATATTCCAATAAATTTACCGGTGTCCAGCTGACGTTACTTTACTCCTGCAGCTGAATTTGCCGGTAACTTTATGAAAAAACCGGCTTCTTGTCCTACAAAGAGTGAACAAACTAGTTGCGTACTGTGTAGCGTGGAAGAAGTTTGATTATAATTTACAAAAATATAATTTTTGTAATTAAATTAAAAATATATTTTATAAGATAATCTTTGTTCATACAGCATTCTTTGATCATAATCTGTGATAAACAACTAAACTTTTAAGCCTTTTTACAGCTTGACACTTTTCAAATGTGGTTTTAATTAAAAGTAATAATAGTTACAAAATCCGAACAAGAGGATTTTATCATTATTGTTTTCCACTCCAACAGAACTCGTGATGGATGTAGGAAGGTTTCACGCATGAAATGCTGAACGCTGAGCTGGAGCCAACCAGAAAGTTTATTTACTGTAAAATTACAATAATTCAACAAATGATCAATGGACTTGATGAGAAATCCTTCCGATTCGTTGGTTAGTATTATGTTTTTTACGTGGATTAAAACTTTGTGTTTGTTTTTTTCTACATTCAAATAAGTTTGTGTGTGTTTGCGAGCAATTACACGCATGAACATACTGCCTTTGTTTTTTTTTATTTTAACAAAATTAGTTATTTAATGTATTCAAAAGAAAATTTAAAAAAGAAATTCACTTCTTTAAAATGTTATTCATAGAGTTTCAGTTAACTGTGAGATAAAGAGATGTTTATTCCATTATCGTATTGATTTTAGTTTGTTATTTTTTGTTGATGTTCTAAGACGCTCGACTCCAGCCAGACTTACATATTATTTCAGGCTAGACCAAGAGGACAAGGCCCCATGGATAAATTTCATTGGTGATTTCCAGAATTAGAATCCGGAACCTCTGGGACAAAAGTCCATTTCTCTATATAAGTATAATAACTGACTATTACACTGAAATTATTATAATTTCATACCCATTGAAATATCAACGGTCTTAGGGATGGAGATTGGAGATGTTACAAGTTTCTTTTTCATAAAAACCACAAAACTTAAAAACGAAAAAAAATCTATTTGTTGATGGTCAAGTTGCAGTGATTTTACCCTTTTTTTGTAATGTGTGCCATTTATAAGAGAATTCCTGTTGTATTCTATAGTTTACAGAACGGACATTCCTCTAAAATATTGCCTATTGTTTCTAGCTAATATAAACTTTGTGCGTGTGTATTTTTGTTTGGTTACCTATTTTGATGACCGGCGGAAGTGAGTGAACCATCGCCGCTGAGATGGCTAACAGAAGCAGGCTCAGGGGCATTCTGACATCTCGGCCTTATCTCCCCTCTCATGGCATACTTCCTCTGAAATAACAACAAAATTATAATAATTATCTTAAAAATTATTGTAAAAGGACAATTTATTTCCGTTTATGTATATGTTATGGTCATGCGTTTTCCTACTGTAGCGTATGTAGCCTACAGTTCCCTTGACTAGGGGAACGGTAAGCAGATCCACTTAGAAGTCTTCCCGGCTAGGGATCTACTGACCAGGCGGTGCGGTCTTCTATGTACATTAGGGGTTAATCCTAGGGCCAACAACCCCACCTTGTAAATGCTTTTGGTTCAGGACCACCATTAAAATACCTGAGAAAGAACGATGATTCACAGAAATATACTCCTGATACGTGTGAGGGACTTAAAGTTGTAATCATGGATCGTACTCTCACTAATTAGTTTTGAACCACCTTTAAGTTATTAAATCCCTTGGGACAACCTTTTTATGTTTTATAAACCGAGGAAGTAGGGTATAGTGTTTTTGATTCTTCAGCTAGTCACTAGAGATAGTTTTAATAGTAAACATCGTTAAAGTACGACGAGTTTGCATGGCTTTCTGACACAAATAGAAGAAATTAACCAAAGGATAGCCTGTTTCTTTAACATTTATGATATTGACGCCCAGAATCGAACGCTATTCAAGATTAGTTTTTTTCAGTGACCTTGAAAGTAGAGGAATATATAAATTTTTAAATATCCTTAATTTTATTAGGTAAATAAATCCATACAATGTGCATTTTCCAATTGTTTTCATTTTACCGTGTAAAATTTAAATACATTTCATGCGAAGGCAGTTTTAGACATTATTAGTAGTAATAGATCAAACACTATGAAAACAGGTTTAAACTTAACATTTTAATATGATCAAATTTGAAAGTTGTAGCGTCGAGTGGGTACAAAATAAGATGGTAATGGCCAGTGTCCTTGTGAATCATTCATATAGGATTTAGAGCAGTCATCAACCATGGTTTGGTCCTCTCTTTGTATGGATAATGCAACAGATGTGGATATATTCGTAAAGGGAAATGTCGTTTCAAAGCTTCTTTATTCAAAGCGCCCTTGGTGGAAACTGTCCAATCCATCAAGAGACTGCTGGGATATCCTTTACAGGATGTTACGAAATGTTTCCGTCCTACTTGTTCATGAACAGGTTCAGGAAATGAAATATGAATTGAACTATTATAGTTTAAATTTGTAATGAACATTGAACATTTCTCAAAAACAAATTGAACTATATGTATGGAATTATAATGTTGGAATGTTAAAAACATGTTTTTAATAACTTAAAACCTGTCCGATAATTAATTACCATACCAGATATCTACCATTCTGTGTTTTTTACATAAACATTTTTATCTTTGGATTTTTTCAACCGATCTTTATGAAACTTGGGATGTAAAGGTAGAAGAGACCCATGTAAAAAATGTATCTTGATTTAACCTAAAATTTCAAAATGTCGGCCATTTTAATTTTGTAAACTTAGTTTACTTGAAAATAGTGGATTTTATTGAACAATTTCAAAACGAATTTTATTTAGGATTTTTAATTTCCTATCAAACGATACCAGTATCAAAAAGATCTAATAAGAAATAACTGAAATTTAAAGATTTTTTGCTAGTACAATTTGCCTCATTGTACAAATAGAAATCTGAATATTTCAGCTATTCCTTATTCGATCTTTTTGATCATGGTATCGTATTATAGAGAGTTATAAATACTAAAGCCTTCTTGACATGTTTTCATAAAATCAATCATTTCCGAGCAAGGCCACCATTTTGAAATTTTAAGTTGAATCAAGGTAATTTTTTCTAACATGGGTCTCTTCTACCTTAACATACATACTGAGTTTCATAAAGATCGGTTGAAAAAATTCATAGATAAAAATATTTATGAAAAAAGTACAAAACGGCGGATATTTGGTTAGTAAAGTGATTTTGGAAAATATATAATTTGTGATTTTCTCTTTATTTTGACCCAAGGAATGAAAACGTAAATTACCTCCCCATCTTTTTTGAACACCCTGCATATAAAATATTGAGTTTTAGGTAAAAATAATTAATGAACAACTAATATCGACTACATCACGACCTCAATACAATTGGATTCGTACTAAAATGTTTAAAATAATTGGGATATTTGAGCAGTATCGGAGATAGTTTTAAGATAAATATTTACTAAGCAATCATTCACTAAGGGTGAAATACAGGTTGTAGACATTTACATTTATCGTTTACACGTATATTTATACCAAACAACATGTAAACCTATTAATAGTAAAAAAATATTGCTAAAATACCTAACATATGTAACTCAAGTTCATAACTCCAGTATCAATGCACAAAGATTAACGAACACCACAACATGTTTAGATTTACCACTTAAATAATTTAACAAGTACCAGCCGTTTAGACTGTACATGTATTTTGGTGAATTTTCTAAAGCTTCTACTATTTTTGTAAAACTCTGATCAAGTAAATGCTGTCCAGGTGTGTTTTGAGGGTCTTAGAAGCCGAAGTGGCTAATCCATCTTGCCCAGAATCCAAATTGACTCTCTCGTCTGGTGAAATCTTTGGAGAGTCTCCTACTTCTGTGTAACGTATTACTCAACCTGAGTGTTATTTAGGATATTTTCACCATTCGGTAGATTGTGACATTTGATTGTTTTGTATTTGGTTTTCATTTTTAGAAATAAATGAACTTTTGAAGAAGCTGCAGCATACATGAGAACACTTTACTTTTCTTTCACAATAGTTAAAATAACAAGCTATCAATCGCATCAAGAATTTAAAAATATCGATTGCAATATAAAATAAATTCACGATATTTATCTTTAACAGGGGTTTGTGTTAAAAATAATAATAATAGGGATATACTAATGTTTATAATGTACTGAGGAAAACGGTATCATATTTTTTGGTTTTTATAGTTACGGTGATAAAGTTCTTTAAAATACATCCAGATCAAACCATGCCATACCAGACCAGACCATATATCCAGACCACATGTGGTAATAAACAGACCATGGCAAAAGAAGTAAACTATTGATATTTCTATACTTTCAACAATCACTATTGCATAGGAACTGAACGTGTGTTGCACTATTTACATGTGCTAAACGCAATATAACAAAGTCTTTAGTTAGTTGCCTCAGGAAATATGTTTTAAATCTATTTGTCCATTATACATTTTAAGAAGAAAAGGTATAACCCCTTTTATTGAGTCTAAAGCTAAAGTCATAGGACATCAGAAAACGCTATGAGAAAAAAACCTAAAGAGGTTTTCTTATAACACAAATAAAATTATACAAATTAAATGTACAGAATATTATTTTCCAAAATCGAGTATCATTCGATATTAGAATAGATGTAAAATAACAGTGTGATGTCTTAAAAATATGTCTTTGTATATTGGTACAATTAAAATATGTTAATTTAAATTACGTTGATTCCATTTAACATACTACGCACTCAACGTTATTCTATTTTTCTACAACTTTCCATTACGGCAGTTGACAAATATTAGACAACAAAGAGAGCAAACAGTTTATAACACACTACAAGAAAATAAATGGACGTCTCTACAATATACATGAAATAAAGTCAAAAACTAAGAGTAGGGTAAGGGAAGGATTTGTGGTGATAAATGTAACATGAGGGTTGACATTTGTTTGGACAACACTTGCCACGTTCTGCTCACCGCCGCCGATTTACAAAAATACTTTCTCTCAAACTGGCGACTTTGCCAGCGTTAACTTTTATGAAAGCTTACTTAACTGTGAATTTATTACCTCTATAATTATGTAAGTATATTTCAATTGCCTCACTAAAAGTATATTAGTTTTATGTTTATGGTGACTTAAGGTGTTACATGATTGTAAAAAATAAACAAGTGTTTATTTAATATTTCAATTACGAAAACAATTAATTGCTGAGTTTTATTTGTTGACATTGATAATTTTCTTATTACTGTAAAGTTTATTAAATAAAAAAAAACTCATGACTTGAGCATTGGTGTGTTATACCTCTTAAATCCTCTTACGTCGGTATATTCTACTGCGGACTATATAATCAAACAACAAGCTATAAATTTTTTGGAGTGACATGACATATCATCACGAGACACATCATATGAGACACTGTATTGAATACAAGGGCCTAAACAAAATACCTAACGATAATCAGCCATTATTTTTGTGGATTGTTCAACAGATTTCATTTGAATTTTTATATCAACCGTTTTATTTTTAATTTTTCTTACGTGGAAAGCAATGAGTGGTGAAAATATTAATGTATACCTCGGGCAAGAGCAATGTACCTCGGGCAAGGCAATGTATACCTCGGGCAAGAGCAATGTATACCTCGGGCAAGAGCAATGTATACCTCGGGCAAGAGCAATGTATACCTCGGGCAAGAGCAATGTATACCTCGGGCAAGGCAATGTATACCTCGGGCAAGAGCAATGCATAGGCTACCTCGGGCAAGAGCAATGTATACCTCGGGCAAGAGCAATGTATACCTCGGGCAAGAGCAATGTATACCTCGGGCAAGAGCAATGTATACCTCGGGCAAGAGCAATGTATACCTCGGGCAAGAGCAATGATACCTCGGGCAAGAGCAATGTACCTCGGGCAAGGCAATGTATACCTCGGGCAAGAGCAATGCATAGGCTACCTCGGGCAAGAGCAATGTATACCTCGGGCAAGAGCAATGTATACCTCGGGCAAGAGCAATGTACCTCGGGCAAGAGCAATGTATACCTCGGGCAAGGCAATGTATACCTCGGGCAAGGCAATGTATACCTCGGGCAGGAGCAATGCATAGGCTACCTCGGGCAAGAGCAATGTATACCTCGGGCAAGGCAATGTATACCTCGGGCAAGAGCAATGCATAGGCTACCTCGGGCAAGAGCAATGTATACCTCGGGCAAGAGCAATGCATAGGCTACCTCGGGCAAGAGCAATGCATAGGCTACCTCGGGCAAGAGCAATGTATACCTCGGGCAAGAGCAATGTATACCTCGGGCAAGAG